TGCGAAAAATGAAGGAAAATAAAAAATGAACTTTAAAGGAGGCTGCCGGTCACCCTCGCGTTGCTTTTCCGCAAGGAAAATAAGCGCGGGGGGGCAGGGGGGTAAAGCCCGGCCGCCGGGCCCCGCCACGCCCGGTCCCCGCCGGCACTGCAGGGCTGCCCGAGCCTTGAAAATGAAGCGCCCCCCGGAGTGAGACGCGCCGGTGTCCGTCCGTCGTGTCCCCCGTCCCCCCCCAGGAAAAAACCCCACAGTCACTCTCCCTGGTGGGGGGGGGAGCACCAAAAATGAGGGAAAAAAAAGCGAGGACCCAACTTTCTGAGCGCCTCCGAAAGAAAAAAAAAACCCCAACAAAATAAACCCACCCCCTCCGACTTGAAGAAATCGCCTGCAAATGGCTTCAAATCTCAGCCGCCCGTTTGATGCCCCTTTCACCTTTCCGTCCTACCTACCTTACCGTCCTAAGCGTGAGGCGGCAGCGGTACGCTCGGATGACGGGGAGCGTTGCTGCTTTTCTAAACACTGGGCTCCCCAACAATGCGAATGGCTCTCCATTGAGGATGCTGCACCGTGCCCTTCCTTTAAACGGATCGTAAAATGAGTTTCCTTCCCTCAGACGGGGAGTCCTGGTAAAGACAGCTTTTACTGCCTGCCTGTATTGCACATCATAAACTGGAAGGAGCACAATGGAATTGCCCCGGAAATTCTCCTTTCAATTATAGTTTGGTGCCCCGTGTACAAAGACTTTCTCACCAGTTAAAATTGTTCTTGGCGATATTTCGCACGGACCCTAAACTTTACGTTTTGTAAACGTGGGACACCCTCTCCCCCCCCGCCCCGCACACCTCCAACACACACAAACACTCACACACACTCACACACACACTCACGCGCGCGCGCGCACCCTTTGGGACTCTTTATGCGCGGTTATTGCAGCCCCATGAATATAGGTTACTGACAGAAGCAAGTAAATTCTCTAAAGCCAGATCCCTGAGATATTGGTGCTTCAGAGCACGCAAATGTGGCCGCTGTATGTAGATATTTGCCAAGCGTTAAGTAAGCGAAAATGCAGTTGTTACTCGCAGGCGTAAGGGAGAAGCTGGCGAAAGAGCCCCCTTCGGTTATTTCTTCCAATTCGCCAATATTAGACAATATCCCTGCGGTCGCAATCGCGATGTGGGAACACGCCGGCAGAAGAGGCTGCTGGAAAGGAATAAAGGCCCAAGAAGTTAAACGAATGCGATGCAAACAAGACGACGACCAAGAAGATCAAAGAGGCTGAAGTAGATGACATTAGACCAATAAATTGCTCCTCTGGTGACAACATACCAAGATGCAAGAAGAAAGAAACAGCAAATATAACCAATGTCTAGACTTAAATATGGATAGCGTAGGACCGAATAGATTAGCTGGGTGGTTGTATTTCGAGCTCTCTCATTCTGTACAATATGCACGTTTATGTATTTTCCTTTGCGTGTGTGTGTTTACTGCCGCCACCTTTTTTTATTATTATTTTATATTTTGCTTTCAGCTTTTTTCCCTGCCAACCCTTAAGATTTCTCAAAAAGTCTTCACTGAATTAATCTTAAAAGGACCCCCAGACATGGGTCCCGGCCACCTTATTTATTTCCCCCATCCTCTGCGCGTTAGGCATAACGCTGCCTCTGAAACAGCCTCTGAAATCTCTCGTTCTGTCGCACACAAAACCGGGCTGCATCCCCGTGCCTGATAATGCACTTTTCATTTGAATGTATTTTTTTCCAGTTGAGGAACCGGCGAACGGGGGCAGATTGCAAGGTTTTGGTCACCGCAATATTCTCACACGCTTTAAAAATAATCCTCTAGGCGGGATGCACTGCATTTATTTTTTTCGTGTGAGCGCTGGACTACCTCTCTTTGCCTTCTGAGCTTTTCCGGGAAGTAAAAGGTAGTGATAAAACGGCGCTCATAAGTTATAAGCGACCTGGGAGCACTACATGATTATGGCTCGTGTATTAAGCAGTATCTTGATGTGGTTCATACTAGAGAAGATTTTCTTGTTTTGGAAACTGTTCGCGCCGTAATTTATCCACGATTATAATGGAGCGTACTGTGCCAAGTTATTACTTAGGATGACGACGCATAAACACTTTTTAATTTCAATATAATTTTACTGCCCAAGGAAAAAAAATAATTAATCATCATAAGTTTAGCAATGCCATTATAGACAAACATTTGATAGGAAGGCTCTTGTTAGAAAGCGGGGAGTGGCTGTTACTCTTTATCCCTAGAAAGAACTGGATCTTTGAAACAGTGCGTGGAAAAAACAGCTCAGCGCTGACATTCCTTCCCGATGCTGAATTTCGATAGAGAGAGATTGGCTTTGATTTAAGGAAATGTAAATAAAACGCCGAGAAAGTAGTTCTGTTACGGAGTACTATGCAGCGATTTGTTTACTTGTCTGGCTTAATCTTGAAAAATACACCGTTCGTACTTCAGCCCACATTTTATGCTTCCTTTCCTCCTGCCTTTATTTCCTTCCAATTACTTTTCCCCCCTCTCTTTTGGCAAGTGCCATCTGAAAACACTCCACAATTCCCCTCTCAGCCTCATTCTCGAGACGCGAAAGCCAACAAAAGCAAAACGAAAAAAAATACGCAAACGACTCGAGGAAATCAAAATAGAAGGCGAGGAGAAGTTAAGAATGACTTTGAGAGACACGTCAAGTTTGCAGAGCATCAGCCTGCTCGCATCTGTATCATATAATTACAACGGGTCCCACAGAGCCGAAATTGCTGGGGACGCGAGCAGGGCTTTTTATTTGTACCAAAGACAGCTGTTGAGGAATTTCACTCGCCGGTAAATAATTTTCAAACGAGAGATTTGCGGCGCTGCCGTTCCCCCGCCCGGCTGCGTGTCCAGCTACGCGGGGTGGAGAAGGGCACTGGAAACCCCCCCGCTTCGCCCCCCGCTCTTCGGGTGAAGCTCTTCGGGGGCTCTCCTGCCGGGCCGATCCGGGGAGAGCCTCTTCCATCCTGTCCGGAGCCTGCAATCCCCCCCTGTCCTCCAAACATTTCATTTCTCACCAGCCCTTCGGGAGATGAGGACAGCCCGCTCGCAAGCTCAGAGCCTCGCCAGGGAAGGGCGAAGTTTTGGGGCAAGGGAAAGAGGGGCGGGCAGCTCAGTGCCCGGGCCCCATCCGTCTCTATGAGCTGCTAGGAACCGACTCGGTGTTTTGAGAATAATAAATGCAGGGTACGTCGTCGGTGAAGAGCGAGCTCTACTTTTGCCGCGGGAGCACCGAGCGCGGCCAGGCGGTAAACGCCACCCTAACGGCGCCCGCTGGCAGCGGGGCACCCCTCACCGTGCCCCCGGGACAAGGGGGCAAAAACCCGCCTCGGACCTATCGGCCTTTGTTAAAACCAGCGGTCCCGGCCCCACTTCTGCTCCCATAAAGTCGACATTTTAGGAGCTTTCGGGGAGGCGGCCGAGCGCTTGATGGCGGGCGGGCGCGCGCTCTTTCGCGGGCTCACAGCGCCACCTGCCGGCGCCCGGCCG